GACACATTTTTAGAGACACCCAAATAACCAAAATTGAATACAGAAGAAATATAAATTCTAGACTTATATGGAAACACACTGAATTAGTATTGAAAAGTTTTACCACAAAGAAAAGCTCAGGCTATATGACTTCTTTTTGTGGAGTTCTATCAAATTCTCAAAGAACAGATACTACTAATTCTTCAGAAACTCTTTTTAAAAATACAGAACAGAGTTTCTGGGTGCAACTAAAAATTGTGATGATGATTCGATAACTGTAAATTTACTAAAATTATGTACTTGAACATTAACAATGGATATTTATAACATATAAAGTTTTTATCAATACAGCTGTTATAAAAAGGAACTATTCACATTTGGTATTGCTACTAAGATCCAATGAAATTTATTATAAATTTTCTATCATTAATAAAGACTCAAAGGTCTTTAAAAGACTCATGAAGAATAAAAAAAAATAGCCACTATTTCCTAAGAAGATACTGCTATATCCTGAAGCTAGACATTTTTAATGTTCCTCACTATTAAAATTGCTAAGTAGTCTTCCCAGCCTTGCAGATGTAGCCAGTCTATTATGGAACATACATAGCAAATGCCTTTATTTAAAATCATAAGAATTTCTTTGGCTTGTTTCAAACAGCTGTGTTTCTGGAGCCATAAGACTGAATTCTAAATTTAAAAAAAGAGAGTCTCATTTCTTGAGCATTGCATTTTATTCTTTTTTCTGATTATTTCTTTCTGAATAAAGGGAATTAATATTCGGTGGGTATGTAGTAAGTACAAAATTTTGTGTTAGGTTCACTTGGGATTATGTGAAATACATGGAGCTCATCGGATATTATAGGTGAAAAAACTTATTCTCAAGATTTAAATAAATGTTAGAACTGAATTCCAATATGGGTCTTTATGATTCCAAAAGTCATTATCTACTTTCTTCACTCTGTTGCCTTGTGCTAAGTTGAGTAAAGACTTCAAAAACTATTGTACAATTTCTGAAAAATACCTATCAACTGTATCTTTACAGTTTACATGATAAAAGTTAATGGATCTATTTTATAAAAATTAAAGATCATTTAGTAGGAGGTTATTTTATATATTTCTCTGAGTATATTACACAATTACAAATTATGATGCACATGGATAGTATATGTGTATACCCTTATTTATATATAGGTCTGGGTATAAGTTCCTTAGGTTTTGTTTCAGTTCCTTCTACAATTTCATTGTAATAATTACTTATATATCAAGTCTTTCTACTACATCATCAGTAAATTGAGGATTAGTTTATTCCTTCTATTCACATAGCATCCAAATTGATTTAAGTTGTACTATGGGTATTAAATGGACAAGTACTGATAAATAAACATTTAAAAATGTATGGAATATGAGTTACAAAAATATTTGCAAAATAGAGTTTGAGTTATATAAGATATTTTAATGAAGAGAAATAAAGCATATATGTTTTTTGTTTGTTTTTAACCTCTGCAAACATCTTTACAGAGGTGGCTCTCAAGCTTTTGGGGTCAGGTACTATTCACCCTCTAATATCACTGGGGACCTCAAAGAGATTTCAATTGTATGGCTCTATGTACATTTCCTGTAGAATAAATTAAAATGGAGAATTAAATTAGAATATTTATTACTGCACTTCAAATAATGTAAGTACATTTCATGTTAAAATAAGTCACATATTTTTATGAAAAAATAACTATTTTATAAACAAAAACTTATGAGAAGGATGATGTTGGTTTACATTTTTCAAATTTGCTTAACTGGGGCTTAATGGAAGAGAGTTTAGTTCAGATCTGATTCTGTATACAATCTCTTATGATTTCACACAGTGTGTAGCCTCTGGAAAAGTCTTTTGTGTATTCACAGAAGGAAGAGAGATAAGGGCAAATGTTGCCTTAATATGTCTATGAATACAATTTTGATCTGAGGACTCCCTCAAGGTATCATGAGAATCATGAGGGTTCAACTGTCATATTTTGAAAATTCTACAATGGATATGTTAAAATCACACTTTATTCATGTTTCTTATTTTGAAATTATTTTTGTTTCTAATACATAAAAATACTTATTTAATTCACTAATTGAGCTTATTTTACATTATTTTTAAATAAAAATTTTTTATGCTACAATCAGGAAGATTTGTCTGATAAAATATTTAAAAAGGTACACAGTATCTCTACTTTCAATGGGTTTATGCAACCAAAATGAAGATTGTTTTCTTCTCTGCTGGGAGTGCAGGTATTTACTACATTTTACTTTTTGCTTTTTCCTTGCTTATACTTATCTTGCTTTTCAAAGGCAGTTAAACTATTGGTTTGGCCAGCTTTTTCAGTATTGATAAAGCTATTAGACACTGCTGTCTATCTTTAAACATGAGAAACAGGAATTTTAAAAATTTACTATGGATAATTTCATTCATATAAAAATTATAAGACTATAATAACACCCAAATGCAGTTAATCTTCCAGCTCCAAAAATCATGCAAGAACTGTCAATTTGGTTTTATCTATCTCTACACCATTTCCAGACTTAGTTTATTTTGAAACCAATCCCAGAAATTATACCATTTTATCTATAAAAATTTATCATGCATTTCTAAAAATGGTAATTATAACTAATAACAATATATTGTGCTTTTGAAAAATGCTCAGAAAGTGGAGGCACTGTTTTCTCCACAAATGTGATAATTATGTGAGGTAATAATAAGTTAATTAGCTATATTTAGTTACTACACAATGTATACATACTTCAAGACATCATGATGTACATGATAAATATACCCAATTTTGTTAATTTAAAAAGATATGCCCAATAGAAACATTTACACAAAATGGCAATCATGGATAAAAACCATTAAGAAGTCATTAATATCAACACATGTTTATTCAATCCTATTAGGCTTTTACTTGAGCAGAAAATATCATAATATATCACCAGGAGCATATATATTCTATTCCAGGGTTTACCTGCTCACAGACATTCTCTGCCAAAGACTGCCCTTTATAACTTTAACTTTGCATATACCTGCATTTAAAACAACATAAAAATTCAAAGACTTATTTAAAAATATTACAGATTGTTTCAAACATTTAATTTAGCAAAGGATGATATTTCCTATACATATGTGGGTAATATATTCAGCAGCAGTCAGTAAAGGGAAACAGAATGAGGAAAATGTTGTATTATTATTTTGGGTAGATAGCAAAAGAAAAAGGGGGCAGGTAGAGAGATTATATAATACATTGTTAGAAAAATTTTATTCAAAATAATAATCCTCTTTCCTCATTCTGTAAAATAGAGGAAATTGAATTTCGTTTTGAGGGTAGAATATAACAACAAATCAATAGCACTTATTTTTGCTATTATATTTTAAAACTTTTTTCTATTTGAAGTAAAAGGACAAATTAAAAATAAATTGCAGGAAATGAATAATAATGCTGAGGGGATAGTAAAAATAACAATACAGGTAGAAAACAGATACCACTGTAATAGACTATTGATGATATAGGAAAAATGATTTGAAGATTTCTATTGTAAATCCTGCACAAATAATTTTGGCATTGCTGGAGAGTATTATGTTGTTTTGCTTTATGAACTGCAGGACTGAAATCATATTCTGTAATAACTTCTACAAAAGAGCCCCTGGATTTTAAAGATCTACCCATGGAATTTTCATTAGTGCTTAAAATACAGTCTGAGTAGCAATATAATAATTTGAATTATCTGTCTCTGGCAGATGAAAAATGACATAGTCTTAAAGGAAAACAATAATATTAGAGTCCTAATTGATTCATTCTCTGTGATAATAGATGAAAATTGCTCAAAGAAAAATCTTTTCATATTTACATATTCCATAGTCAGATTTTAGACTAAACCCTCTTTGTTTTTTTTTGCTGTATACTGCTTTATAAATCCCCCCGAAACCAAATCATGTTACTATATGCCATGTTCCATCTACTGCCTATACATATATTCACACATTAATACTCATATATGAATATTTTCTGTTGGTATACAGCGTTCACAAAACAAAAAATGTATAGTACTTGAATGAGAAGGTGGAAAATATTCAGTTTTTGAAATTTCATTACCTTTGAAAAAATGCTTCATCTCACTAACTTAAACAATAAAATTTATTTGTAATATAGAAATTCTATTATCATTCATAAATTTCACATTCATGAAAGACAAAGGAAGACTGAGGAACTCTCAGGTTGGAGGTTATGCAGGAGTCATGAAAATTAAATCTAGTGACAGATCCTGTATTAGATCGTGAATTGGGAGGAGTGGGGGTAATGGATTAGTGGGGAAACTCAAAATTTGTATAAAGATTATAGATATCTTAAAAATATCATATCATGCTAATTTGGGGATATAGTTGGATAGATGTTACATTAAGAAATTGAACAAAGATTGAGCAGAAGAACTGTGTGTACTATTCTCTGAAGTCTAAAATTATTTTGAAATAAGAAGTTAATATTCCATTATGATAGAGTCTTCTGTCATGAATAATTATAAAGAACAAATAAAAAATATTCAATTTTCATCTTCAGTTTATAAAAAGACACAAACGAATGAAAACAGCATAATTGACAGTGTTTTCATTGAGTAATATAGGGTAAAATATTCATTTAGAAGAACTTAAGATAGTTCTTTACTTTCTGTATAAGAATGTTTTATATTCCTAAAGCCAGTGACAGCATTCCTTAATAGAGCAATAATTATGGAACACTGTCATACCTTGTACGTGTAAGAAATATAGTTAGTGATAAGAATGATCTAAGCATGTATAACTTAGTGACTTCTCACATTTAGGATCATTTCAATGATGTCTTTTATTTTCAGCCTGCTTATTTTTGGACACTTTCTAAAAAACAATTTTGATATGAAAAGTGGTTTTATAAAATATAATGAGTCTTTTAAACTGAAATGCAAATACATGTTAAACTGACATTAAAATAAAAGAGACTAGATTATTTGATTTACTTTACCTGAAACTGTGTGATCCTTAGAGTCTCTTGTTATTTTTATTCTTGCATGAGGAAAGATGTAGTGCATGGTCTTCCCATTCATCTGTATAATCTAAGACATACATGTGACAAGGTGAAACATAATGTCAAAGACACAAAGTACAGTATACAGACTTTAGACTTTTTCATTTAAAAGCACATTGTTTAAATCAATGAAAATGCATTGGAAGATTGTCAGATGATAATTTAAGCATTGCATACTCACTGTATATAATGATTATATTTGTTTCTGAGTTCATAATGAACATTTATAATTAATTATTCTTGCAAAGTGATTTGTCTTATTTGGGAAATTCATGAGTGCATGTAATAAGAGGTCCTAGAAGGTGTCTTTTATAACAGCCAGATGTAGTTATTATTGATGATGATAGAAGATGTAAATGCAAAATTTTCAAATTCTGATTTTGTTATGCACAGGCTAGAAATGCAAAAGCATTTTAAAATATTTTTCAGCAATTTAGTAGTGCAAATAGAGAAAACACAGAGAAAGTTCCCCCCATTCTATCATTATAATTAGGATTGCTTTATGTTTAAGTTGCTTGATTTTATTGTTGAATTGTATTTCTGTTAAGCACATCTAGAAATCTTGATGTATGACAAATTTCACTTAAATAAATGAAGTCTTTGCTCATTCTAATAAATTCTAAACTTCCTTTGTATTCAAAGGTTGTGTTATTGATAGTGTTATTTCTCATTTATTATAGAAGCTTCCTAAAAGGAGTAACAATTCAAGCTATTATTGCAAGTCTGTCATTTCAATTCTTATTATTGAGACTTGAACATAACAGTGCTATAGACTATTATGGTTGCTTCTACCTGGTGAAACGATACTTCTCAAACAAAAGTAAATTAGTGAATAGAAACTTGGCTTTATATTTTACAGAATTTTGCTTTCAAAAGAGACTTGTGAAATACTGAGAAATAGAAATGGAAATGATTTATTCATACATAACAATATTATGGATTTTTTGTAGTATAGACTCTTCCTATTGTCTTAGAAAAATATTTGACTCATATTGAAAAATGAAAGAAAGTTTAATAAATATGGAAATTTTGTGCTATTTTAGAATGTGTTTAAGAGGATGTGGGAATATAATTCCAAATATTAAACAGAATTTAGACCTGAAGAAATGTATTATATGAAGAAAGATTCCTTTGAAAACTCATGTGGCTTTAATGTGCCATGATAATTCTCAGTTGTAAAATTATTAGAATACTTAATATTAAAAGTAAAATAGATACTAAAGAATGTAATTTAAAATTATATCCTTTAATAAATCAAAAACATTAAACTTCCATAATTATGCTCAAAATGACGAAGAATCTATAAAAGCAGAGGCACCTTTTCCCACCTATGGACTAGATGTGATTCAGCTTTTTTCTCATCATTGCATATGAACGTTGAGAGAATCCTCTAGTGAATAGAGTCACAGGTGGGGAGGTGCTGCATAAGAGTAGAAGAAATGCCAGGGGATGGAACTGAGGTTATGTACTGTCCCATATCTTGCCCTAAGGATCTGGAATCTATCCCTATTGTGTATTGTAAATTCTTCACGTACAGAACTATCACTTGCATACCACCCCTCAAAAGGATTGTTTTTATTCCCTAACTACAAATATTTCAAAAGAAATTATTTTCATGTAATGAGCTTTCATGTTTATGAAATAACAAGTTTGTGTTCACATACAATATTCATCCATTCTTTCACCTGAATACTACACTAGCTTGTTGCAGGGAGCAGTGGGTCTTACTGGCTTCATAGCATTACATAATGATACACCATGTGGATGGAATAGAGCTTGCTCTATATGCTCATAGTCCAGGGCATAATGCATGGGGTAGTACTGGAACACAAACCAAGAACACTTTTCCCAGATTCGCAGGGATGATGGTAGTAGTATCAGAGAAGTCTTCATGCAAGAGGGAGCATATGCATAGTGATGAGCAGGATTAGCCAAGAGAAAGAGGAGGAGAAGATTCCAGGCAAGGGAAACAGCAGAACATTCAAAGGCCAGCATAAGAGACAAGTGGCTCCTTCAGAGGAACTTCATGTGCCTCGATGCAGCAGCTGCATGGGAACTGCAGAGGATGTGGGCATGAATGCAGAGTGGAGGTGTTTTGTAATAGTCATCATGTGTTGACCTTCGCATGGCTCTGTAATGGGTATTAGTCATATTTATAGATTAAGTAACTAAGGAAAATTTTAAAAATAAAAGAGGTTATGTGATATGTTCAGTTCACAAAGCCAGAGTTGGAGACCTATTTAATATAGCAGAGGTTAAACAAAAATACATATTGAAAGGTAACAAACTGAAAAATACATATTGAAAGGTAACAAATACAAGTTTGCGGATTTGGTTACTTTTGTAGTGAATATAACTAATAAACATCTTCAGAACTATTCTTCTACCCCTCTATGTATGTTTTATTTAAAATACTTTTAAAGCAGATAAGCTACTGCTTGCATTACTTAGTTTTTAAAATTCTTTTTGCCTCCACAGCACTTAATGAAAACAAATTCTTGTTATGCTTATGTTTTCAAATAAAAGCATCTGACTTTATTGGTTCCAAGAGCTCAATATTACCTTTTTATGACTAGAGATGCATAGAAGTGAATAAAATGAAAATATTATTTTGCTATTCTCCAGATGAAAATATAGTTATGATGCAACATAGACAGTACTTGAGGATAAATATTAACATATAAAAAGTGTGAATTTTGTGCTTTATATTATAAACTTTGGACTGCTATGTAGTTAAGCATATGTTATCTTCTGTTTGGTATCTATTTATTAAAAAATTATAAAAAAATACAGAGAAATTTTGCCCTCCAAAATCAACATATTTGTTATTTGAGTGAGGGAGAGGTAATGATCCAGAAGAGGCACCCGGTTCCATTTCTTGGCCTGTGTGGGGTTGTATGAATGTTAAATCTATAACTATTTATAATTTTATATATTTGCAGTTTACATGACTATGCATATATTTTTTTTCTTTTTTTTAGTTCGTAAAATGTATATCAAAGTAAAAATGTGAAAAACGTAAACTATTGGTAACAGCAAGAAAATACTCATTAGTCTATTATATTCACCTAATGAGAAACATTTTCTGCTTTATCAATCATAACAAGAAATGTATTAAATACATCTCAGTATTCTCAGTTCTCTTTACTTAATTCTGTCATTATTCTAAAAGTTTATAGTATTTAAAATTATAATATACATTATAATATCCTTCATAAATATAATATATAATACACATATCCTCCGTAAATCTAATGTATCAATTCATGTATGTTAATAATAGAAAATTATAAATAAAAATGTCATTAGAGATACCATGTTTCATCTCTTTACATTACAATAAAATTTCAGAAATTTTTGAGGGTGAACACATATTTCTTAAATGTATTCTCAAATAATGTTAGATGGAAAATTAATGGAGAACACTGTTCTGGATATTGTGGGAATAGTAGGGTTGGGTGTTAAATGTATAAAAGTTTATGTTTTAGTTCTTCAGTTTACACAGTTGAGCTTATTATAATTTTCTTAAAGTACTTGTGTTTTCATTGGTTTGACCTAGGTTTGTGGGAAATGTTAACATTTAGAGAAACAAATTAGACAGTTAGGATGTAATGAGTATGCTATTAAATAGCAATTCTTACAATGAAAGATATTTAAGAGTTTTATTTTCAACTGTTGTATTTATTATTTAAGTAATTGCAGATTAAGGAAGTAAATTTCAGATTTTAAAACACATTAGAATGATTTTATTACTGAAGTTCCTATCTAGATTTTGTTCATAAGAGCTGAAATGTAACAAACAGGGAAATTGTAAAAATAAAAAGATAAGCTAAGAAAAGTATAATTCTTATGAGCTCTTTAGGAGGTCCATTATTCTCCTTGCATACAGTGGTGTATGTCTTATACAAATTTAGTGATTATCTTTTGGAGAAATCTTCATTTAAATAGCTATGATCCAATGTCAATGAGTCAGAGCTGATGAAGTGGGACACACACTTAAGCTACTGAAAAAAAAATTTGTGAACTTGATTGAAAAACATTTACGATAATTTTGAGACCACTCTAGGGTAGAACTGAGTCTTTTTTTGTTGGTGGTAAATCTGAAAGAGATTACTAAATATAGCACTTACTTGCTCTTGATGTTGACTGAGAGGTCTAGAGTGGACCAATCTTTCTGGCAATTTTCGGTCCAGACCATGTCCGTTTTCCAAACGAGACTCCCTGGGTTTATCAAACCAATCCGTTTCCTCACGTCGCAAGTGATAGGCTTTGGAGACCAAGGAAACATCATACATTGCAACCACAACTAAAAAGATGATAGAGGGCGGCAGCTGCTCTGCAATACTAACATGCACTAGGCTTGTTAATCATACATGCATTTCAAACACAATGCCCAATGGGATCAGAAAAACTACTTTCAATATTACACCAAAGATAAAATTATGTTAAAATTTATACCAGAAAATAACCTAGAAAAAATGATGCACATGGATTTTCAACATCTCAGAACAAAATAAAACAAAATCAAATTTTAAATCAGAACAAAGTGGAATTTAGATAGTGATGGAATATACAAATGAACATTTTATTTAACCTCAGTCCTTCAGTGCCCACTTCTTCACCTCTCCTTACAACCCATCACGCACCGTTAAAAATCAAAAGCAAATGTTTGCCTTGAATGTCAAAATTTCTGTTGTTCTCCCATATTTATATAAACCCAATAGCAATGTGAAGCTTCTGGTTTTAAAATTGGTGTTTTTTTTTTTTTTAATATGACATTTCTATGACATTCACAAATAACCAAAAACATTTCTAAGAAGATCCCAAATGTTATTGCTAGGAACATGTGTGCCACAAGCAATTGGCAGCTTAATATTAAAAATGTATCTACTAGAAATTTTAAATACAAATAAAATACTACTCTCTGAAAAAAGCACTGATTCCAAAATTAGATCAAGAATTAACTAACTGACTTTTAAAATTTATACTATGACAAAACTTTACAACATAAAATACTTTTTTGAAAATGCAAACATACTTAAAATACACAACTGTTACTTATAATTTTCATCTCATGCCACTGGTACTTCCAAGGTTTCTTAAGGCTATTATAAAGTGACTATATACCCAATATATAGAATCTGTCCTATTATGGACTAGTTATATTCTTTCTAAAAAGTGTCCCTATTCATAGTCTTTTGGGAAATACACTGTTGTTTCCTAAACAGTAAATGGATTAATTCTTCTCAAATGTTCATCCTGAAGTATTTGTGGATGATACTGTTAACCTATACTTTCTTAAAACAGCAGCTTTTATGAAGCACACTATTGAGTTTACCTCTCTCTTTATAGATTCTTTTTTCTGACTACATTCCTGAGAATTTTCTTTCTAAAACTTGCTCCCAAGATCCTTCTCAGGCCATTTCCAATGTGTGTACCGTTACACACCTCAAAATTCCTGTGATCCTATCCAGAGCTGCTACTTAACCACAGCATTTTCCAATTAAACATGGACTAAAATATGATGTGCAGTGGTTCAGTCAGCCTTGGATTTTAGGAAATACAACAGTACGTACCTTGCTTGTGGTTGCATAAGTATTTAACTGATCTCACCTATTAGAGTATAAGCTGCTTGAAGGCAAGGTTCAGATCTTCTTTGTTTTTTTTTAAAAAATTTTTCCTTAACACTGAAAATATTCCTCATTCATGGCATAATATTCAATTGATATTTGTGGAACAAAGAATAGATAATTAGTCATCAACTACAGAAAGAAGCTAAATATTCTGAATATGACAGATTTTAAAATAAAAATTTATCCCTGAGTTTCATTACTAGATACAAAAGATTATTCTTCACAATCTACTCAGTTATTATGGTATACCATAGTTTTGATTTGAAACCAAAGGACTAAATTTATAAAATAATATTTAATATAAGAAACATTTGAAAAGTAAATAAAACACAAACTTTAATAATCAGTCTTTGAAAACACTGGATTATCCTCAACCACACTGATTCTATTTTTATCTTATGTGCTTTTATTATAGATTTCTCATGAAAATAAAATAATACATATTGTTTTCAATAAGTAAATATCTTAAATAATATGATTTCACTTCAATCTATAATTCTGTGATTGCCATTTAATTTTCAATACTATGCATACTTTGATTTTTTGTTATATATTATATATATATAGTAACCCAATATGTAACTGAATAAATTGACTTTTGTATTAGATTCTATGTTCATCATTTATACTTAGTTGTACATAAATGTCAATTGCTTATAATTACAATTGTCTGACATGTCATGGTAAAGTCACATTTACAAAATAACTTTTATAAAATTAGTATCATGTTCCAAATTAATTTTAAAAAATTTTCTGGAAATTTATAGTCTTTTTAAAAACTTGATAATATTTTCCTGAATTCTTATGTGTAAAATACAAATAAGCAAGTTTAGGGTCCAGTATTGGCCATAAGGAACAGTTCCATGAATAATTTAATTCTCCTTGACGTCAAATATTAAAAAAAAAAACTATACACATTGATATTTGGGGTGAACATGGGACAAAGCAAAGTATGTTTTCAACAAAAGATCTGTGGTAGCAGAGAGGGATATGATTTGATTGTTTCTAACTTAGCCAATGACCATAATATCAAGTAAAATAAATTTTATGTCTAGTTAGATTTTTTATATCATGTGAAATATTTCAAAGAACTAGAGTCTTACAGAATACATCTGAAAAACATAGTTTATAACAGAGTATAATTAAATTCAAAGAAAACATGTAACACAATTTGAAAGCAGTAAATTTGTTTTGTCAACATAATGCTAAACAACCTGTTGTATGTTATACTGTTTAAATATATGTTAGTAATATTCAGAAACAGACATAGGATTATACTTGATAAAAGGTTGTTTAAAAAATGCCTAATATTTTGAGTTCATACATTTCAGGAATTGCGTGACTAGGAAAAATAATTTTTATTTTTTCCTTAAATACCCAAGGAATCCAAGATTTCAAAACTTCAAAATAAAAGTGGATCACTGCTCACCAGAGAAAAGCAAAATATTCATATGACAAAAACAAATATGTAGATTTTACTGTGCACATCTTTTTTAAAATCTTTATTTATTTATTTATTTTTATGTGGTACTGAGGATTGAACCCAGTAACTCACATGGGCAAGGCACATGCTCTACCACTGAGCCACAGTTCAAGCCCTGCACATCTTTTATATACTCACTATGATTCAAATGTTGCATATACAATTCAATTTGTTATAGTTGTCTTTTAATATTGTATCAACATAATCTTTATGAATTTTTTGACTGCCTAATTTTTAAATGCATTTTAGTTTTTAAATGCCATTTAAACTACTTTCTTCTTTGGTATTCTTTTTAGACACTGCAGAATCATATAGGCTGCATAATATGTGATCATCTACTTTATCAAATCACTTTTTGTCATCCTTTGATGACTGAGCATACATAAAATATAAATAAATGAGAAATAAATGCTCATTTTTTCATGGCTGTATATAAATAAGTGCCACATCCTGGGATACCCATAAATACTTATATATCCTGCCCCATGATTAGAAAACATTAGTGAGAAATAAATGCGTATTTGAAAAAAGTGAAAAAAAAATTAAAGACTGTTTCTACTAATATCACAGTTATTACTAAGATACATAGATTCATTCAAACAACTGGCTAAATTTTAAGACATACACAAATGAAGCATTTTATTTAAATGACTATCAATAACAATGGTCAACCCAACATCCTGGAGAAAAAACAGCAGAAGGTGACTGGACTACTGAAATTTTACAAATAAAAGCATTTTGTCTGCCTTCAATCCAGTGATAAGTCCTATAAAAACTATTGAGTTTTTAAAATCATAATCCTGTTTAAGCCTTAGGAATTTAGTGAGGCCCTAAGCAACTTGGCGAGACCCTGTTTCAAAATCAAATATAAAAAAGTTGTGGGAATGAGGCTCAGTGATTAAGTCAGTGTCCCTGGGTTTAATCCTGGTACCCAGATAGATAAATAAAATAAATCATGGTTGTGTCTAGATATGGAAATAGAATGAAATTCCTTTTCATAAAACACATTTTCTTTGCAAGTCCTCAGGAAAAAAGCCTTGAAAGGAGAGATTTACAAATTAGGTTGGTCTTTGGCATCTCCAAAGAAATGAAGCAATAATACTTTAGGTTGATAGAACCTACATTCTTATGTAAACCTAAGAGTCCACTAAGATTTGATCTCTTGAAAGGGGCAAGGCTCTTCACACCCCTGTACTTTTCCTTCATGTCTAAAACAAGAATTGTAGTAGATAATTTTCTAAAATCCTCATGCTTCTGTACAATTAAGTAAATAAAAACCCATTTTAAACTGGTTTTTATTTAAGTATGTGCTTGTCTTAAAGCAGTTGTTCAATATGAAAAACTACTGAAACAATTTAGAGCTGAAAATATAAAATGATAACCAAAAGTAAAGCCAATGCGTGCACCAGGAAGGACTGAACTCCAAATAGCTAACATACGACAAGCAGTTTACAAATTTTTCAATTTGAAATCTAAAAAATGCTTCATAGATACTGGTAAGTTTATTTATTTTCAATATGTATTTAGTGCTAAGCTTTCTAGCATGTAGTGCAAAATGTGCAAATCTGTCAGTAATACTATTCATGAGAGAGATAAAAAGGAAATCATTCATTTAGTGAGAATTACATTACACTGACATCAGAGGCTGATTGAAAACTTCTTAAAAAGAGCACATTCTCTAAATTGGTAAACAATCATGTCATAAAAATGATGAAATAATTCTCTATTACAGAGTCTAGCAAAATAGTGCTAAATGGCTCTAACCCTTAATAATGTCATAAACTGAAAGAAATTGATCAAAAAATTTAAAAATGTATTTTACAAAATGAAAAACTTTCCAGCTGTGTATTTAAAGGATGACCATATTTTATTAACAGAATTATTTGATAATGGTTTTAGAAAAGCAGACACAAAACAAATTAAGCAATCAAGAAACAGAATAAAAGAATAAATTAAAAATAAAAGCATGCCACAAAATCTATACACAAGATAAATTTTCCATGTACAAGAAATAAAATTGAAGTAAACATGCATAACACACATCAAGAAAGGTAGAATACATCCTTGGAGAAGGAAAATTAAACATGCAGAAAAATGAGAGTTTGAGTTTTGATAGTAACAGGGTAGTCTGAGGCCCAATTTACCTTCACTGTCTGACATGGCATGTTGGAAGTCATCCATGATGAATGCTATGTCACGGTCATAGCCCCGAGTTCGTGATTCTTCTCTCATGTGTTGCTGAACCTCAGGCAATGAGTGACTTGATCCAAACTGGTCCCTGGTGTCTGCAGATATTGGTGGCAGGGGTCCAGCTGCAGCTCTAGCCATTCCCATGGGTTGTCCAACTGGACTTAGTGGACTTTCTTCTTCAGAATTCTGTGCCACAATAGGTATCCTTCCTCTACTCTGGCTAATTGGCAAACTGGTAGGCTTAGTTCTGGCAGAGGATGATGCATGACTAAAGGAAACATCTAAAGCTTCAGCTTCTTGAGCTTTCAGTCTCAGTGACGAGCTGGAAGAATCCCTTTTAATTGATAAATCAAGCCCATAGACAGATGAAGGCCTGGAGGAAGGTCTGGACCTGCTGCCACTGCTATATGGCTTATCTGCTTCATCCTGTAGAGCTGACCGTATGGTATTTCCTAATGTGCCCAATCCTGAGCCCAGTGATGATCCCATAAATTTTTGTTGGTCTGTAATATTTTTTCTGAGGCCAAAAGTGATGTCATCTTGAAGAAGCCTTGCCCTAGAAGAAATACCACCAATAGAAGAAGTACTAGAAGTCATATAGCTCGAATAGTCAGGTTCAAGGTCTCTACTTTCTTGGATGGGTGAAAATTTGGACATTTTAGGGTCTATTAGTGATTTCTTATGCTTTGACTGCTTTTGATAAAGTATGGCTGCTGGCAATTGTTTGGCTGCTTGTTTTTCAAGTGTGAGTCTACTGATGCTATACTTTTCAGATTTTGGAAAATGTCTATAGCTGGTATCAGCATGGTAATAATGTGAAAGACCAGCAAGGTGATCTAAGCTCTCTGTCCCTCTGCGGAATTCTTGCTTAATCTGATGTTTCAGAAGCTTTAACTCATAAGGATCCTCCATTGGATCTTCCTCTGCCTTCACATAACTATGCAATCTGGAGGAACTCTGTAAAGGTGCTAGGAAATCCGTCACTTCTTGAGACCTACGTGCCTCAGTGGTTCTAAGGAGACGATCTGTTTTCGACAGATCCTTTTCATGAAGGCTAAATGCACTGCTTAATGCTGCTGTTCCTTTGCTTATTTCTCCAATGTCATCAATTAGGACATAATTTCGTGAAGTATGATGGTCAATATCTGCATAGAAAGAATCCGCAGATATGCTTGATATTGGACTGCTTGCCATGCTACTTCGTTCCTCCAAACCTATTCTCAAGTCTAAGCTATTGTACTTACTACCAAGATGGGAAACAGCATATGTATTGTCAGTAGAAACAGGTGCTATCATCAGGGGTTGATTGCGAATCACTTCGTAGTTTGAAGTTATCTTGGGCTCTAAATACAATGTGGTTTGCCGTGGCTTCGGTTGTATCACCATCATCTGTGATGGTAGCTGGTAAGATGGTTGTGGGGTTGGTGTAGGTTGAGCTTGGGGTGTAAAAGACATTGTTGCCACCGCTTGGAAAGTCGGTTGGGTTTGATAAGGTGAAACTTGCTGATGGTACAGAGTTTGTTGCTGAAAATGGGATTGTTGGGTGTATGGGGTGGGTGCTTGGGTAGGAAGAGCAGGGGAAGAATACTGGTATTGTGTGTAAGGACTCGTTGGAGGGACCAGCTGAGAATCTGTTTGTGTCTGTGGTGGTATGAACTGGCTGAATTCAGTTTGGGGGGCAGTTCTTGGTCGCTCAATGCCATGCTGACTTTCAATTCGGGTTGGCCTGGTGCTGCTGACTTCACTGTCAGACATGTAATCACGATCCTCAGCTACCCCCTGGAGGTATGCTCGCTCCCTCTTTTCCCTCTCCTTTAATAAAGCCTCTTTTCTCCTGTTAATTCCCATTTCCAGATATCGCAATTTGGCATCAATCTCCTTTTCTTCTTCATCCAGTTCTGCTTGTTTCTTTCTGAGCTTTGCAGATTCCCTTTCTACAAGATCAAGCTCTCTGTCTATGTCCTGGAGAATCTTGGCTCGAGCCATGGTGTTGGTTCTGCAGATCCTTCTCCTGGACACAGTGCCCATTGTGCTGAAGGTCGATGGAGTTCCTGTGGAAGCTTCCTCAGGAGGTGGATTTGGCAGAGTTCTCTTAACTTTCTTCTGGGAACCAGAGGGTGTCATGGTTTGAGAACCTTTGGTCTATAATCAAGCAAACAAAATATAGTACTTTATTATCAATGACAAAAGCAAAGACCAAACAAACTTCATAATTTACATTTAAATAAAAATGATTTCATGTATATTTTTAGCCATGAGAGCATAATAAAATAAAAATGCCATGTGTAATTTCAAGTATTGGTCACAAATATGGTTAACTGGAAAACAATTTTTTTCCTGGTAAATTGGTTACTTATTGTTATAACACCACCAGTAACATGAGAGAGAACTTTCAAATCAGCACCAAACTCATTGCTTATGTAAGCTTCTACTTAGTTTGATTCTTGGGAGAAATCTTAAAAACTCATTTTTCTTCTAAACCCACAGGGGATTACCTAATGAATCTGCTACCAGACTATCTGTGTTAGCCATCTAAAATACAAGTTACACTGGCTGAAAATGTTTGTTTATGGTATTAAGTTTCCTAGTATACCTATCTTGCCATTCCCTCTCTCCCCCTTGGAGTGACTGTCATTCCTTTTCTAACTCTACAATATTTTGAAATGAAATCCTCAAATTATCTAATGCCTCCCCCCAAAAAAAGAATGATTTAATTTCCAATTACCTCTTTAAATATTTTAATTATTTAGGTCCCATATTTTCTTTAGGCTTTAGTATTCTTATGTATTTTTTCTTCTCCTTCTAAATGCCTTAGCAATATCTTCATGAAGCAAAAAGAATTGACTAAAAGAAAAATTCACTGGGACCATTTTTGAAATCAATAAGATAAAATACACAGTTGGTGAGTTGTCAAGTATTTAAAATTTTTTTTTAGTTAATTTGCCATATCCTTGCCTACTAAGAAGCACAGGTGTTGAGAATCATATAATTTTAGGCTATCATAAGATATGAGAGTTGCTAAACTGATGTTCTCAAAGTACCCAAGTATTCCATAGCAGATTTACTCAGGTCTTCTGCCTGCCAGCTGCCTGTTCTTTATGAGAAGCTGTCTTTTACTTTCTTTCTATTAAAATCCAAAGACATGAATTCTTCTCTGTCTCCTCAGTCACCACAATACTGATAGTAGAAAAATAATAGAAAATACACCAGGCTATGAATTTTGAACTTGAAAATTAATTAGACCGCATTTGTCCTAAACCCTGGGCTTTTGTTGCCTTTTATCACTTCTAAATTCATTTCCTCCATGGCTTTCATCTGCTTTCTGGTGTCATTTTTTCTGCTTATGTATCTCCACTAGTTGGTTCCTCAGTCAACAGCCATAATATGAAACATTATCTGAAAGTGATATGTGTGTTTCTGAAATTTAAGATATTTGAATGGAAAAGAATAAAGGCTGTCAGTCTCTGAAACAGGTTACAGTGATTTTAAAATTGTAGCCTTTTCTTTCTCACAGAGAAATCTGAAGAAAAACGCATAAAGCATATGTCCAGAGGGGCTATCTAGCATGTTACTTGTTCTCGCTCGACCTCAGTTCATTTCCTATTATATAATAGACACAATCAAATCATAAAGTTGTATTGAGGACTGAATGAGAAAACTGTATAATACTGTAGGCACACATTAAATACTGTTTTATTTAAAAATCTTATCTCTGCAGAAAAGTATTATGTATTGATAAAGTCACTTTCCAAATCCCTTAAAAATATTGACTTATAAGAATATAATGTCATATCTTTGACTAACAACTGGTCATAATTAACAATAAACTGAGAACAGGGATCTTATAATTATTTTTTTCATTAATAATTTTCCAAAATGCAATATAGATAAATGTTTCATAATTTTGAAAGTTTTTCCACAATAATCTTTTCAGTCCAACGGAGTTCAATAATAGGGTGAAAATTATGCATTGTTTGTTTTTCCTTAATTTGCATGTGGGAGATTAGTTATAGCAATTTTAAAATTTAGAATTTTCTCCTGTACTACATGCTAATGACTATGAAATGGCTTGATAAGGGGGTGTTTAGTTTTGTTACCATGGAAGTGTTATAGCACTGAATATAGAAACATTCCAAAATAAGAACTCTCCTTCCTACCAAAGGAGATGGATATGCTAAATACCCTGATGTGATTATTACAACAATGTATATGTATCAAAACATCACACTGCACCCCAGAAATATGTGCAATTATATTATGTGTCAAAACCCAAAGTAAAAAAAAAAATAGAAATAGGGAAAAGAAAAAAAGTCCACTGGTAAATACAAAATTAAATGATTCTGGTAGAATGAGAAAAAAGATACACAAAACAGAAATTACTGCAAGGGAACGGAGAAATAGTGATAATGAAATTTCTAGGTAGTTAACTAAATTTTTAAATATTATTTTTAAAAAATATTGTAGGTACTCATTTAATGGGTACAAATATTTGTTGAATGAAGAAATGAAAGAATTGTGACTACTGACTTGTGACTATTTTTAAAGGTTCTCAACATTTCAGAATTCACTAAGTAGAACTGCAAGAAACCATAAAAATGACTACTTATTATATTGAATCATTCTTCTTAATGAGAAAAACTATGAATTAACATAAATTGTTATGGTTCATACCTGCACACAATTTTTTCCTAATGTAACTTTGTTTCACTGTTTATGTTTTCATTTGAAGAACAGGCTTAGTCAAATCTATTGTTTTTTTTTTTTTTTTTTTTTTTTTTTTTTTAAAGAATTCCCAGGTTAAAGAAACTTTCCAGATGTTGGGAACTTCTAATTATCCTTCCAGATTGAAAATATTTACTGACCCATGACTGGTGTTCATTAATGTTTTGGGAGCCATGGATTTGAATCATGAAAATAAGAAACAAAGAATAAGCAAGAAAATTACTGGAAAGATTTTAATCGCTCAAAGAAGTTTTCTCCTATAGAGGGGTCCTCTATAGTATAGTGTCCTATTAGGAGACTCCTAGAACATGTGCAAACCTTGTTATAGTGAAAATCTTACCACTGATTATTCAAAATAAATATATTCTCAAACATGTATTGACCATGAGGAATGATGAAAATTATTTTCATAAATTGAAAGGCAAAGCAAAATAAATCAAATACTTGATTTCTTAGCTGTAGAATTCCAAAAAAAAAAGTAGTCTACATGTCAACTTTATCCACTTTGCAAATCAAGATATTTTTCAAGCATGTCCATGCATCCACTCAGAAAAAAAGAGATTGCTGGCTACCATGTACTAGGCACTAGCATAAAAATTATGATAACTAATACTAGTCTGTTATCTATTAGCACATATGAATATACAGGGTATCTTAAAAATTGCATGGACACTTCAAAAATAGGAGTCTGTATAGATAACAACTGTTTCTTATCATTCTGGTACATTCCCACAAAAACTCAAATATCTAGAATCTTGCATTAGGATAAAGGATTGGGTTATATTCTGAGTATAAGGGACTAGAAGGGTTAATTACTAAAGGTTTTGATGCCTAACAAAAATGCAACCAAATGAGGATGATACCAAATGAACATTTTGTTTAAATCACTTTTCTTCTGTGGATTGGCTTTGCATCTTTGGTGCAGGACTTAGAGGTATGTTCTGTAGACACGAACATAAGAACATAAAAGTAGAACAGTAATTGCTCATTTGCTCACCTTCTAATTTCTTGAGCCAGAGACGTAATAGCCTACCTTGCATATAGGTACAATACATAATTACCTGTAGTATGAAATTTGAAAAAAATGATTTCCAGGTCCAAATAGGGATTCAAAAACTGAACTTCTTTAGGACTTAAATTTTTCACCACTATTGAGATCTTTGGACTATGATAATAATGTCCATGGTTACATTTAAATTGCTAGCATTGATAAAACATTAGAATATGATATAGACCATAACAGGAAAGCTATACTGGAGATGAAAATGGAGGACTATTTTGACTATAACAGAAACCATAAACCCAAAACCTATAGGGCCAGAAGGTGAGAAGCTTAGAATGAGATTACAGAAAAATAGAGGTGATGTGTTGAGCTGAAAGATTAAGTCCCATCTGTCAAGGTTGTCTCTAGCAGATTACTATCTTGAAGAAATGGAGACCCAGTATTGTGAGATCTTCTGTGTTGCTCAGAGAATGTCTGAAATTCATTCATAAGCTTGGGCATGTATTTTAAAAGGCTTCAAAACATTGTTGAGGCCAAAGAAACCAAATTTGGGGGCTACACAGTCAGAATTCATTGTTCTAAAGAAAGTTTTCCTAGCCGAGGTGGGTGCTTACCAAAAAGTCATTGGCTGGTCAATCAGTGATACAGACTAGTTGAGAGAAAGAAGGAAATGAAGCAATGAAGGAGGATGTGGAAAGAGGAGAAGAGTCCTGCAGACAAACTTCAGTTCTTTGTTAAGTTTCCTGACTTCCTTCATCATCATTGCATAACTCTTACCTCTCATCCTTAAGAGCACTTTCCTCCACAATGCCCCATTTCCCTATCTATTGTTCCTAGGGTACTTTCAGCTATACAGATAATTAAGTTCCTCTTTGGTCACAGCTCATTGCTGGACACATTTGTATTAGTGAATACAAACTGTATTCACTAATACAAATGTATTCACTAATACAAATTCAATAATCACAGATTTAAGTTTAAATGTGCATGGTTATGTGTGTACTTAGGTTGATCAGTATCACTTAATTACAGAAAAATATTATAAAGAATTTCAAGTAATTTCTCGCCAACTTATGATTTAAAACGAACTGACTTTCAAGATGACAAAGCTTATAAACTACTACTTAATTGTAATAATTCTAATTAGTTCAATATAATATAAAACAGCAGCATTCAGGACTCCAAAACAGGGAATAAAAACAAAATGACACAATTTTCTTAGAAAACATCAAGAGCTGTATAAAGTTAAATTTATCATGATTACAGATGATGTAGCTGGAAGTCATAATTAGAGGAAAAGGGTCTAGAAAACCTTGGTGTTTAATAAGATTTTTCCTTGTTGACAAGCTTAGTAGTAAAGTTGTTTTCAGATACAGGTGGTACCCTTGATTTGAAAAAAAATACTGTAATAAAAATA